CATATATAATAATTATTCGTCTACATTTTTTAAGAATTTTAGTTAAGTTAAATTCAGAGAGCTGCAATGAGTATGATGAAATCAGAACAAACAGTCGTGCCACAAATGCAATCAGCTTTTTAGAAGGCGAGATAATAAGGTGACACTTACATATGTATGTATATCGGGACTTGCGAATTTTGTATTTCATATAAAAGTGTTTATTCCTGAATCTCTATTTTGTCCCATTCAAAGTAATGTAATCTAAATACATATATTGCACTTCTGCCAGCGTTTTCCTAATCCTTAGAGCACTTAAAAAATATTAGGGGTATTCGCTTGCTCTTGCAAAACCCTTGCACGGTTCCTCTTGCATATATTTCCTCTTGGTGCACCGGAACAACAACAACAAACACACGCAGAAAATTATTTGCAATGGCTGTAAAATATGTCACGATATATTTGCAACCCTGTTTTAGCTGTCATTTTACATAAAGACATATTAAGTCGTTAAATTGTTGAGGAATGTTAGTTTTAAATAGATTTTATAATTTGTACTTAAATTATAAAGATTTGTTACAGTTTTTTTGGATAAAAATGTATGCAGAAGGTGCCCCAATTCACAGTAGCCAATGCATAATAGTCATTCACAATCAACCATTCATATATCACTAGATTCTGCAATGGGTGCTCTCGTGCCCTTGTATATTTCGGTATAGTATTTTTGCAATCTGCAATCTTGCAAGAGCACCCCTAGTATGATCTTGGAGAAGGAGGAAGGATCTCTTCAATCGTAGCGTAGAGTCGTTCTTTCATGGGCGTCTTCAATTTTCTGAATAAAAAAGGGGGTCCAGGTCTGCGAAATCCGGTGACTTTGGCACCATTAATGTGTTGTTTTTGGTCAAATATTTGCAAAATTCAAATATTCAAAAATTAATTTTTGTATTTCCACAAATCCAAGTATTTCTGACGGATTGCTTCTAGCACATACCCAAATCATTGGTTAAAATCGAATGGCGGGTCAATTTGATTCACTTCATGAATGCTTTCGTCTTTTCTTGACGTACATATGCGGGCGTTGGGCATGCTCTTCGTCGTTCACATATTTCCTACCTATGTATATATGTACATATGTTTAACATTCGTAATGCGTACGTGCACTTAGTTTTATTTTTCACACAAAGTTTTACACAGATTATTTAATAAATTTTTTCGAATAAGCAAAAATCGAAGACGAACAGACCTACGGACCTTGTCAGTGTAAATAATGGATATAACATCCAAAAATCGAACATCGTGTTATTTAAAAATTCCCAACACACTTTGTACAAACGATGTACAAACTGAGAGATAAAAATAAGGTTTTGGTAGGGAACTTTTTGTTTTTGTGAAGGGTATAAGGATCCTGCATCAGCTTCTTTGTAGAATATGTTCGGACGAAAGCATACCCCACGATTGGAATTGAAGTGTGCTTTGCCCAATCCACAAAAAGGGAAGTCCCGCAATCTGCGCCAACTTAACCTCTTCAACATCGCATATGTATAAGGCTCTATCGAGCGTATTTTGTGAAAAATTAAAGGCCACCCTTAACAAACTGATTAGACCTTGTCAGTGTGGCATTAGGCCTGGAAAATCAAGAACTGACCAGATATTCACCATGCGCTAAATCTGTAGAAAGACCCATGAAAAGAGGATCGACACGCACCACTAATTTCGTCTATCTTGGAATAGCATCAACGCCAACAACAACGTCAGCCTCGAAATTCAACGCAGAATATCTCTTGCCAACATGTGCTACTTCGGCAATTGAGAAGTAAAGTCTTCTCTCGATTTGTCTCTAAAAATCACTCATTATTCCCGTCCTGCTATACAACTATGGTGCAGAGGCATGGACGATGACAACAACGGATGAGTCGACGTTAAGAGTTTTTGAGAGAAAGGTTTTGTGAACGATGTATGGTCCCTTGCGCGTTGGCCACGGCGAATATTGCATTCGATGGAACGATGAGCTGTATGAGATATACATATGTGGTTTTGCATGTACGACGCCATTGACATAGATAGTTCAGCAAATTTAAAACAGCGGCTACCCTGGCTTGTACCTCCCGTTGGCGTCACATTGCAGAAAGAATGAACGACTGGCGCGCTGACTATAACTGCAACTATAACCGCGTAACGGTCTGTAAAGAAGATATGCAACCGAAGTTAACGGTTTTTGTTTAGTATATGTACGTACATATGTAGGTACATTGCTAGAAGTTCACAAGTTCAACTTAATTTCAAAAGATTAACTGGCACTCGGTGTTGTCTAATTAGAGACGCCATAAAAACGAAAAGTAAGAAAAAAAGAGAAGTTTAGGCCATAAGAATTCAAAAGGGAAAATATTAAATAAAATTAAAAAAAAAACGTATAGTTGCCAATTAAATTAATTTGCTTCAGTATTTCTTAGTGTTATTTTCATTTTTCGTTTCGCTGTCATCGTTATGCTATACTCATACATATGTACATATATGTATGTATTTCGTCTACAATTACAGTTTCAGTTTCGCTTCAATTCAAACCAATTTATTTTTCACATTCAATTCAATGCATTGAGATCAGTTGACTTGAGTGGAATATAATTCAACTCTCGTTGACAAGTAAGCACATTGATATGTATACAAATGTGTTTACATATATGTTATGTATGTATATAATATGTACGTTTAAACATAAATATTTAGGTATATAAATTGTCGACAAATGTTGTGAAAGCTTCCCGCTGTGATGTCATTTCCATACTTTCAGAATTATTTCGTTATTGTATATACATACATATGTACATACATACTCATATAATATCGTAAGTTGAATTGTAAATTTTGTTCACTTATGAATGTTTTACATAACTTAACAAACTAGCCGATTTTTTCCTTCAAAAAGTTGCAAAAATACAGAAATTAAAATTCGAAAAATTCGTTTGGCATTATCTGGGAAAAGTTATATGTATCTTTATGTAAGAGTCCTTGGTTTTTCGATTTCGTGTGAAACAGCACTACATTACAGATACCACTGAAACCAACCCTCTTTTTTCTGAGACACGTTCGAATAATTTCTGCCATCGTCGTATTATGTAATACAGGGCCACGCTCGAATTGTGCTGTTAAAACAAATCGTCAATTTTCGATATAACGTACTGCTTCCATTCAGTAAGGTTTCAGAGTTTTGTTTTGGAAGCCAGAGATAGTGGGGTTTTGTTGGACCTCCGCAATAACCGGTCTGGCTATGTGTACAGTGATTCCATCTTGCTGAAAGTGTACGCTATTGAAAGATTACGTCTTCGGCGCAGTTCTGGGTAAAAAAACTTACTCAACATCTTTATAAGTTTAACGTTGCCCATTGACCGTTACATGGTAATACGAATAGAGATACGTATCTATGGTATGGTCTTCTTGCGATACTTTTTAAAAATTTAAATAATTACCTACCAAATAAAAAAGTTAAAAGAGTTATTACGGTTTGTTTTTGTAGCACGATTTGTGCGCCATCCTGTATTTCTTAGTAGACATTTTTCATAATATTCTTCGAATGTCATACTTTAATGTACTATTGATTTTAACAAAGAATTTTTATTTCTGTCGTCACAAGGAATTTAACGAAATATTCTTGGCTTTCATAACTATTTAAATTTAAAACTAATGGATGTGTTTATATAAATAAGTGAATATCAATTTATCTAGCTTATCATGGTTCATATATGAACTTTTTAATAGCCAAACTTCATTTTATATTTGCTTAACAGTTATACATTGAAACAATTATTTATTTTGCAATGTTCAATTAACTAATTTATGACTTAAGTGTCGTTACATTCACTTTACATTTTGTAGAACCATTTAATTGAAGCGAACGCTTCTTTGAAACACCAGCGTGTGACTAAAGTTCTTAGCTGTTTATTGATAATATACATATAAAATAAAACAACTTTCTGTGCATTGTGAACACTATGGGTTTTGCGTTATTTCTATAATCTACAAATATCTAAAGTGCTTATTTAAATTTATTTAGTGTTTGTTTTTATGCTATTTTTTATTAGAATTATTTAGTTAAAAAAATTGTCACTTCTCTCTAAAATTAACATATAATTTCTAAAACATAACTTGCTTTGGTAAAATATTAAAATACTGTCAATCCTTTGTGAAAGACTCGTTATAAATTCGAAAGTATGTTTTTAAATATGAATTTTTTCGTATAGATAGCTATAGAAATATATAAATGTTAACATTATGATATTCTTACAAGTAATTATTAATTATATTAAATAAATAATGATTTTTTAACAATATAATACGTTACTTACTAATTATGTCTTACTTCTTCTTTTCCAGCGCTGTATCAATTTAGACTTTGGGTGTCCAATAACCAGTAGAATGTGAAATCACAAAGTACATACGAATAAAAAATATGGATACGAATTAAATGCCGTATGGTAAACGTGATATAAATTATAGCTTGTGTGTGTTTGAAAGTTTGTTCAACGAATTAATATTTTAAACTTCGTTATGTGTAACATAAGATAGATAGATAGATATCCTAGCCTTTAATGTGTCGCCGGTGTACCAACAAACGCAATCAGCTAAAGACAATGGACCTAATTTACGAACTTGGCTTCGTATCCGCCTTTTCACTAAGCAATTTCCGTTTCCGTAGAATTAAATCAAAAATTAAAAATCGTTATTATTAAAAACCCATCATGTATTATTTTAATATTAATAAACACAATTTTAATTTATATTTTTTTCTTTTTTTCTACAGGATGTGAGGAAATAAAATAAAATGTTTTTCTCCGCTTAAATATATATTTAAAAAATATCATACATATTTTTGGAGAAAACTTGTGTTCTTGCAAAAATAATTCATAATAAAATCTAAAAATAAAACTTAATTCAAAATCCATAAAAAATATTCCAATAATTTAAAAATAAATAAGCTATAAAGAGTAAATTATTCTATTATATTATTTATTATAAAAGATAAAATTTAATAATATCAATTTTAATCGCAAGTGGTTTTATGGAAAAGTTAAAGTGAATTTCAAATATCATACGAAAATTAAAATATAGTGGCTAAGCTTAAAGCTTTAGTAATAAAATAAAATTTTAAGAAATACATAATTATAAATAATTGTCTTTGGTAGCGACAGCAAGCATTAAGATCTGGTCAGTTTGAAAAAGTGCATAGCTTCTTATAAGGTGTGGATAAAGTTTGCAGTTTGAGTAAAGAAATTATAAGTGTTAAAAAATACAAAATTTCTTATAATATGGCAATGATGTTGTACAAAAATTAATTTTAGAATTGTCGTGGAAGTTACCAGCTATTGCGGGCTTCGGGGCAGAGGCTGTGGCGCATGCGTGTCCGATATTCGTGAGTGTATACAGCGGTCTGTACTGCGCACGTAGGAGAGTGTTTCGTCGTTCCGATACAGTTCCATCGCGTCGTTTCCGTTCTAATCAACTTGATATAGTTTATTCAGGTTGTTACGACGTTTGAGTCCTTTAATAAGCGCCGTCGAATTGCCTTTTGTCCCCATAAAAAAATCTTTTATGTTTGTGTGTGATTGTTGATTTTGAAATCCATAACGAGCTATTTTAGTGAGTGCCATCGAATTCTTACATTTCCCGCTATCGCCGTAATGAGGTGTGCTTTTGCTTGCGGCAGCACAAGCAGCAGCACCGAAACCGGCAGCAGCAGAAGTAGCGGGAGCAGAAGTTCGGCATGAAATGGAAGCGGCCATACGCTCATCAGTGCAGGTTGGTGGTCCACCACCTACATCAGGTGGTCAACAGCAACAGCACCACCACCAACAACAGCAGCAGCAGCCGCAGCAACGTGGCGGTAATCCGCAGCAACAATCGCACTTGCATGATAATGGGCCATCGCCACAACAACAACAGCATCAGCAGCAGCAGCAGCAGTATCATCAACAACTTAGCAGTCTACCCACACACCATCATCAACATCACCAACTACCGCAAACGCAGCAATCAGCTGCACAGCAACAACAACAAAATAATAATAGCGGTACTAACAGTGCGCAACAGCAGCATCAACAGCAACAGCAACAACAGGCTAATATGTCAGCTTATCAACAGCGCATGGCGTCCGGTCCGTCGCAGATTCACAGGTGAGTGAACGTTTAATATATGTATATTAGGACCGTTTTCTCAATGTCTGATTAGCAGCTATTTGTTAGTTAAGTTTAGGTTAATTTAACCACGACTCCTTCCTTTAGTAAAAAAAATTTTTTTTCTAAGACGAAAACACAATAAAATGTTACTGATAACATTGTGCAAAAATCTGGTCTGAAACTATTGATAATGGATACCATCGATAGTGTGCAACCGTATTTGGCAAACTTCGATTAACAATAGATAGTTTTCGATAGTGAAAACAAAAACATTTATTATAAAAAGCACTTTAGTCAAGCTGCTACTTATTTTTGTTTAAAAATAGCATCATATCCACATACTTAGGTTTAAATCTTGACCTTCGGTCCGTTATTGTATGGCGCCAAAAATACCTTGTCATAATCTTCAGTGGTGGTTTTAAGTCGTGTGCTCAAATCTGTGATAGAAATAAGGTATATTCATTAATCTCATTCTTAGTTTCTGTAAAATATAAAATAATAAAATATAAAATAATAAGAGCAAAATAATTGCATATGCTTCAGATGACATTTTTTTGTCTCTATTTTTTTTTTCTACAAGGTCAAAAAACGACGATCTGTTGTGTCATCCTTCTGTCGATTCGTTATTTTCAGGGCTTCTCCTTTCGTTTGCAAATATAGTTGAAATTTCTTGCTCCAGATATTTTGCTGCTTCACTTGCGTTGTTAGTTGACTGAAACCCCTCACTCATGAACCTAGGGTCAAAAATTGTGCCTATTCTTGTAACGCTTCGTAATTCATATAATTCATATGGTGTTAATCTGTTACAAACAGAACTTTTTAAAAATTTCCTAATCATCCAATACCTTCTGTATAGAATTAGCTACATGTATTCGTTGTCTTATAATTTGTTGAATATTCCAGTTTTTACGTTGACAGCACACACGACTTAAGTTCAAAATTGAAAAGAAAATGATAAGTGGTGGTAAGGTAAGAGTAGTTTACAACATACATATATCGTGCATACAGAACGAGTACAAATTTTTTTTAATTTTTCATCAGACACTATGCTTAGAGCGAAATCGATATCTGTTTTTCTTTTAGAGTCATTATCATATTCAACGGCTCTACTAAAATAAGACGTAACGGATCAATCGCGTTGAAATCGTGTCAATTGATCACGCAAGTTACTTGTGTTCCCACTTGTTTTGTATTCCTTACCACATTTAATGCATTTGGCCAATTTTTTATCTGGCGACTTTCCAAAAAAAAACTGAAAAACCTTTGAGAATCTCTTGAGTGTAATTCCTCCCTCGTCGTTTTTTTCACTTCAATTAGTTCATCCGAATCTGTTTAACTATTGTGGTGTGGGCTCTTGCATTCAGTTCCTAAACGATTGGAAATTTAACATTAGAAATTAATTTTTAGGTTTATGCTTACATTTCCTTATTTGCTTTGTATTTTTATCCATTTTTAAATTTCTGGGTTTAACTTTTTCTATTTTCTCTGTTAACTTTGCCTTGGATTGGCAATGAATATGGGCAAAAATACATAATCAGGGGTGTTGTGAAATCTGAAAGTTGTCGGAATCAGAATTGAAACTGATTAAAAAAAGCGGTAGGTGTCATGAATTCAGATATTATTGGTTTGATATTTGAAACAGAATTTGTATCGGTTTTGGGTGTCACGGAAACCAATTTTATCGGCTTTGCTGTCAGAAAGAAAGCAAGAAGATAGTCGCTCACAGATTTGAAATGTAAGTTAAGAAATATAGTAATTTTATTATTTCGAATGAACTTATCTCTATTTTTATAGGGGAAAACATAAGTTTAAAACACGAAATGTTTTAATTATTGAGTTTTTGTGAAAAATATGGATATTTAAGGGGGGAGCTTGCTTTAGAGGCTTAATAAAATCGATTTTTTTCGGGAGGGAAAGAAATAATTGAATAAGGCAAAATTTCTAGGATTTATAGTTATATATTTAAACATCATCCGCAAATTTTTTTGTTACGAAATATTTTGCATTTTGCCTTTGGGAAGCAATTGACAGACGCTTCTCGCATGTGCATAGACGGCGGGCGGGATGCAGGTCGCGATTTATATCGGAAACAAAAAATTCAAAGAGATTCACATTTTTTAATAACTTATGTTCAAGTTAAACTAGGAAATTTCAAAAAAAGGGTTAAAATTCTAATTTTTTTTTTAAATTTGAAAAAAAAAAATGTTTTCGGATTAAAAAATTTTACTTTAAACATAGTAAACTTTGACCCAATTCCATACAACGTTTAGATTTTTTAATTTAGTTTTTTTTTCGCTTTCTGCCAAAGCGCTCATAAGTATATGTATCTGCTAGACGCTCGGTCACTATTTCCCTTCTAGCTTCGACAATATTTCGAATTCCTATCTATAACTTTGGGGAAATATTCTTGGTAATTTTTAAAGAGATTTAAACAAAAACAAAAAAAAAAAAAAAACAAATTTTAGAAGCTTCTAAAACAGGCTCCCCCCTTAAAGAAGATTTACAAAACGTAATAAGCGTAATTTAACACTCAAACGCGTCTTTATTCATACCATAAATGTGATCTCTTAAAATCTTTCTTTAATTCGGAACTCATTAAAAACTTTAATTGCATTGCTTCCAAATGTAATGATTTTTATTCCACAACTCTGCATGATGCCAACTAGGCATTACTACCAACTTGCCAATCACGAAAAAGTTGGTTATTGGCCGGACTGTTTTGACATTTGTTTGAACAACGCTATCTCTGATCGTAGATCGAAAGCAAAAGAATACAAACTGCTGAAAACAATCGATAGTGCCATCGATAATTTCAGACCTCTAAATAGACCCATATAGGTGTATTTCAATTTACTTTAACAATCAATGCGACAACATGTCTATAGAAACCGTTCTCAGGACAGTCGGGTCTACGTAACCGCAACGGATCCGGATTTTTTATACCGTCAAGGGCTGTGTTATTCTTGTCTGCATTATGTTGTATTAGTAAAATTAATCGAACTGAAAATTATGATAAAAAGTTTTAATACGTATATACAATAGCAGCATATCTAATAGTAAAACTTAAAGGCAGGTAAAATATTCACCAAATCGCATGGACCATTGGTAGAAAATAACGTCAGTTTAGACAACCATTAAACCTTGCAAAACAAAAAACAAAGATTTTAACATCATAGTATTAGCACGTTATGAAGAAGCTATAATCTCACAACGTCCGCTGCATGTTTGGTGTCGTTGGCTTAATGAAACCAAAACCTGTTAAAACCAAATTTTTCGGCACATTGCTTTTAATAATTTTGTAAGTGTTTCCATATCCGTCCTTAATATTGTGATTGCGAATACAATACAACCAGAGTTTCCTACTCCACCACCTGTCATACTTCACACCTACTCCAAGACGGTGGACAGAAAGTTGGTAATTTTCTCTGTTGAGGGCTGTAGGATTTTCAGTCCTTTAGTATGAAGGATACCAAACTTGATTCCAAGATTCTGGTAGCATATTTAAATGTTTATTTGCGAATGCGATATATACATATTTGTCGGTTACGTAGGCGAGAAGTGGTTGCCTAATATCGTGTTTTTTCAATATTTTTCTGGCAATTGAAGCGCCTATGATTTTTTGGAACTCTTGCTGAGCATCAAAGGTCACAGTTATCGAGACATTTGCCTTCCAAAGTGTTAACTTTGGAGGATTCCAAATATTGGCTTCAAAGTGATTATTTCTCTTTCTAAAAAGTTTTTGATAATTGTACATGATGTTCAATTTATACCGGTGGATTTTACTTTTTGTACTTTTACGTATGACCTAAAACTAATTGCGATAGATATAGGTTTGTATATATAAATAACCTCTGTGATGAGACGCGTTCAAATCCGGGTGATTGTTTGTTTGTACGTTCGTCCGTGCAAGCTGTAACTTAAGTTAACTTAAGTTGTATAGAAAGCCTGATGTTCGAAATCCTGATATTAATTATATAGGGGTTGAATCAAGTTTTCGCACAGTTTTATCCATTTTAAGTACAAAGAACGCTATATAATTTCAATTGAGATGGACGGACAAAGAAATAGTTAAACGGGTTTCAACTCCACTGGCTTTCCTGAGTATATATATATTTATAACTCTATATCTATCTCGCTTTTGGTGATACATGCAACCGTTAGGTGAACAAAACTATAATAATGTGAAGCAACATGTTGCTAGTGTATAAAATATTTACTTGCAAGAAAAGTAATCAGAAATATTTAGTTTTCAAGTAAGATTTAGTTATTGATGAATTTTCTCATCACTGGTAAAAATTTAATTTAAAATGTGCTTACAATGGCGTCGATTCATGCAGTACACCGCTTAATAGAAGAAAATGAAAAGGAACTGTGCTTGGAACCAGGTGTAGAAGCTATTCGTATACATTTGCGAGATTTTGATTTAGCAGCCCATAGCCTCAAGTAATTGAGTAATATTTGCTTGAGAGATAATGAAACCAATTTGGGAAATTTAATTCAGTCTTACTTTGCATATTTTATCATTACAAAAACAAATCAAGGAAACCAAAAAAATATAACTTCCATACTAATGAGTAAAATCATCGTTAAAAATAAACAATTGGATTGTGGTTTTTATATCCTTAACACGGTATATTTAGTTTTCTACGTATTTTGTAACGTGCAGAAGGCAACGTCAGAGACCCTATTAAATGTATATATATATAAATGATCAGCGTGACTAGCGGAGTCTATTTAGCTATGTCCGTCTGTCTATATGTATACTAGTTCGTATTGGTTTCTTAGTTTTTGAGATATCGATATGTCCTTTTCTCCAAGAAGCTGAACATCAGAACATCAGATATATAGCTGCTATATCCTAAAAAATGAACGATGAAAATCAAGGGTTGTTGGAAACTTTTTATTTGAGAAGGTTATTCTAACGTTCCCCCTTGTGGTAAATTTTAAAGTAAGCATCTTAACATCTTATATCAGGAGATACTGACATATCGAGTCTT